TGTTTGAAATAAAAAATGATTTATTATTTATTAATTAATTTTTAAAAATAAACTTTTAAAGAAAAAGAAGAAAAATATATAATAAAAAAATACAAAAAATAAACATAAATTATAATACAATAAATAAATGAATTACAAAATTTTCAATAAGTGAAACTCACAAACATATTTTGTAAAATCTTGTTTATTCATATACTTTTTGTGTATATTTTTTGTACTTCTAATCTTGAGAATGACATTGAAATAATTTACACTTCTTACATTATGTCCATATAATAGCTTCAGTAAGCACAGATGTAATAAATTTCATGACATAAAACACAAATAATTGTAAGACGATAATGTATCTAAAAAAAATGAAAGAATGTTCAATGGTTGGGATTCTAATATTTGTTAGCTATTAAAGTTGAATTCTTTGGTTTCATCCATATTCACTTGATAATTTGAGAGTGGACACATGTCAAGTTTTTACACAAATACTTAGCACATTTTTTGAACATTATTAATGAATTGCACAATGTCATTATTTTTTCTCATTTTTTTCACAATTGCAACTTGTTATTTTTTAATAAGAATTTATATTCGTTTTAATTTTTTTTAATATACAAATGATTTTTTACACTGTAATTTTTTTTTCTCGTTTTTTCACAATTGCAACCTGTTATTTTTTAATAAGAATTTATATTTGTTTTAGATATTTTTTATTATTGAAATCATTTTTTAAAGATTTTAATTAAATGAATAGGTAATTTTTGTTCTCTTTTTTTCGCGATTGCAATTTGTTATTTTTTAATAAAAAATTATTTTTGATTTTTTTTAATATGCAAATTATTTTTTACAGTGTAATTTTTTCTTTTTTTTCGCAATTGCAACCCGTTATTTTTTAATAAAGATTTATATTTGTTTTAAATATATTTTTTTTAATATAAAAATAAAGTTTTTTAGATTTTTTATACAAATAATTTAACAATCCCATCACTAAATATAATGAACAGGAGAAGTTGAAAATGGTGCGACAGTAAGTGTAGGAGAAGTCAAAAAGGCTTGTAGGTTGGAAGAAGTCAATAAATACTGAGATTTTTTTTTAAATAAAAAAATTTTATATATTATGATAGGCATTAATTTTTTTTTTAAAAAAAAAGGCTAATAACTCATTAATTATAATAAACCTAACAATTATACAAGTCACAACATAATTTCTTTAAGAACCAAGATTCTCCAAAACGGATCACTTTGCAATGGCCTTATTGTGGTAATTTAATGACATATATTTAAAGTTAAAATAAAATTACATTGTTTTAGATTGAATGATTTTAGTATAATTTTATTTCAATTTTAACTCAAATAATTGAATTATGTATTTTATTGGTTTGTCTTATTGAAATAAATAAATAAATAAAACGCAAGAAGATTAGTAAAGCCATAGCAGAGAAACTAAACTTCTAGTTTAAATAGTGAAGCATTTTCTTCTATTTTTTTCATGATAATTATTTTTGAAAAAAAATTAAGAGAGTCCAAAAAAATAGTCCGATAAGTTACGAGAGAATAAAGTATGTTAGAGCGTCTCCAAAAGAATGACTTTTGTTGCTCCAACATTTACATCTAATTTAGGATATCTTTAATTTTTTATCAAATTAACGATAGTTGTAACTTTCATTAATTTATTGTATATAGTTTTGGAGATGCAGGCAGTGGCGTAACTAGAAATTTAGTGAAAATGTGGTACAAATTAATGACAATATTAATTAAATTTTTTTCATAATAAACAATAATGAGATATTACTAAATTTAAATATTAAGAGTTTATTTGGATAGATGTGAATTTTAAATTAAACAATTTTAGATTAAATTTTATACAAATATTGGGGAGTAACTATTTTATAGGTGGATTGGAAAATTAAAAAAGAAGATAAGTTGAGATAGAATATATATTTTAGTAGAGAAATTCTATAAAATATATCGCAAAAAAAGTGTCTATCATATGTCGCAATTATGATCTTCATGATCTTTAATTATAACACATTATAGTGTTAGATATAATTTAGTTATAACTTGTTGTTGTTGTTGTTTTGGTTATGACTATATATCAAGTAATAGTTAGTTATAATGAACGTCGTTAAATCTCATTTTTCTTGTAGTGAATTCCACATGTCAAATGTAACTAATAATTCAATAAATTTTATATATTTATTGAAATTAATTATGTTTGTATGTCAATAATGACAGACATCACCATTATATTGAAATTTTCATAGATAATAATATGACTTGTTATAGTCTCTTTATTTTCAATCAAAATAACAATTATTATTCTCATAATTTTAAAAATGTCATTGATATTTCACTTTAAATAATATTTTTATAATTTTTTTAATTTAAAATATTTCTTTATGTTAAAAAAAAAATCCAAAACCCAAGGGGGCACGTCGCCCCCTGGACCCTACATAGCTACGCCCTTGGATGTAGGTTCCATTGTAGCATACACCATCATCGGACAATTAACTGATTGTCTCCCCGATCGACCACTTACTTGCGAAAATCTGTTTTAGAATTTGGAAAAATTACACTGGCCCGTCGACCGACTAAATATCCTTCCGGTCGTCCTCCCAGTCGATCGATGATTTGATGAAATTCTCGTTGAAATACACAATACCAGATCAAACTTTTACTAAAATTTAATAAAAATAAATAAACGTTAGAGATGTTATTATATATTGTGAGCCAATCAGAAAGAATTCCCACTAAACATTTCATTTTTTTTTTTTTAATTTTCTGAAATTCTGTAACAAATTATTATTTTTTGTTTGGGGGACACGTTTTCGTGATTTATGTGAAACACCTATGAACAATGTGAATACTAAAACAGTAATACTAGGTATCATGAAAAATCTTTCATGAAAATAATCATGAAAGTTTCGTGACCCTTGGATTACACTTAGAATAAAGCACCACACACTAATCAAGGTAATTCAAGGGTCATAAATTTTTCACGATCATTTTCATGACAAAATTTCGATGATCCCTAACTTTTCTCATACTAAAATCAGTCTACGTAGAAAATTATCAATTAATTCATATATTCAACTTTTTCTATAATTTCCGAAGTTTGCGCCGGACACATTAATATCATTATTTAAAATAAAGACATGCCTCATCTGCTGTCCAGTTGGTTCATTTGGGCCCAATTTCGTTAGTCTGTTTATTTTTTAAAAGTTTTTATGTATAACTTATTTATAAAAACAATAATTAGATTAATTTAATAATTATAATTATATAATTTAATTTAATTTATTTTATTTTATTTTAAATATATAGATGACATATTCAAATTTAATACTTGCCCTTCAATTTATTTAAAATAAATATAATTACCGTATGTAATTACAATTATCAGATCAATTTAGAGGTTAAAGTATGAATTTAATCAATTCAGTGAGTTAAGTTCAGCGAAATCAATAAAAACTGCTAATGATGTTATTAATTGGATCAAATTGGTACAAAATTTTAAATTAATGATTAAAATTTAGTCAATTGAAAGTGTAATGACTTAGTCATGTAATTCCATCATATTTTTATTTTCAGACATTTAGACAATATAACCAAAATTAATACTTATCATTCAATTTTTTAAAATAAATATAATATAATTATCTGATTACAATTTCATTTTTTTAAATAGATGATTTACATCTAAATGAGTCATTTGATTGGACCAATGGGGTTGACTAGATGATTCAAAATGATGACGTGGAATACTTTGTGTCAAAGTATGGCAAATGAGAAGGATACAAGTATACATTGTTTTATTAAAGTCGGCAACGTATGTGAGTGGAAGAAGGTGCAAGTAAGGTTACTGAAGTCATGCCTTACATAAGTAATGCCGAATTTTCTTTCTCGGTTCCTTGTATATTCTCGGCTGCCAAACAGGATATTTGGCAAACTTAAAAGGAAAAGTTCATGACTGAATAATTTAGTTATTGGGTACAGAACAATCATTTTCAAAACTTTGCTTCAACATCTTGCATTTTGCTAATTATGGGCTGAATAGCTATCTAATCACATGTGCTTAAGTTAGGTTTAAATATCTATGGGTTTTTTGACTTGTGTCATAGAGTTTTTTTTTTTGTTTTTTGGTTCTCAGAATGGAGTGTCATACAGTATTCTTGGCTGCTAAGTTTTTATATAATATTTTGGGGGAAAAATACCATATAAATTAATAAACTTTACTAACTATTTTTACAATAATGAAATTTTGATATCTAGAATTAAAAAAATTATTCGGTGTTAGAGGGTACTACCTTTCATCAATTACAAATGTGAGATTTCTTATTAGTCAATGATACTGCTATGTTGACATTGCGGTGTGGCCCAATGATCTAGTAGTCATATCTTAGGGTGTGGTGAGTTAGAGGTCAGTGATTCAAGCTGATGGAATATCGGCGAACTCTTCACTTGTAATCTAACTACACTAACATACTAACGCTATCTTTGGAAGAAAAAAAAAAAAAAGTGATACCACCATTATAGCAAATATTTACACAAGTCTTCTTCTTTGAATAGGAATTTTCTTATTGGTCAATGTTTTTTAGGGAAATTCTACATCAGTGTATATTTAAAAAATATATATATTTACAAATTAATGATAAACCATACAAGTATTAAATTAGGAAGTGATAGACTTTTTCATCAATTAGTAATTAATTTTTTTAAAAACCAATTAGTAGTAGTTTCCCCAATTTTTTTTGGTGCCCAACTCCAGTAGAGCCCTATCCATGGACAAACACAAACCCAACTCCATAGAGTTACAAGAAGTTGGGTCATGCATAGTAATGAAATGGGCAAATAATGGGTTTATGAGAACGTCTCATCCAGTCAAAATCTTCAACCCTAGCCCAGTACAAATCTCTGCTAATATTTATTGGGCCCAATTGTATTACAACCCAAACATAGCCCAACCCACTACCACATCACCGTCGTCTTCGTCACCATCACAATGCTTCTCTCTCATTTCTGGCTTAAACTGAGTGAGAGAGAAAGTAATCTTCGAATTCTAGAGAGAGAAAGTGGCTATGGCGACCTCGCTTCTCTCTCCTCTCGCAGCTCCAACCATCAACACCGACAACCGTGAACTATCCACTGCTATTGGCGTCCCGAAGACCTCTTTCCTTGACGGTACCAAGCTCCCTTTCGCTCCATCTGCGGCAAATTCGACAGCGAGCTCAACTCGGAGATGGTGTTTTAGGTCTCCGAGGTCTTCGAAGCCTCTTGACCATGTTCCGAAGCGGTTTCGAGAGGAAAACCTCAAAGAAGGATGTGAGTCCCCAATTCGAACACACTGTTCTCTGTTTCAGTATTGTGCTTTGTTTTACTCCGTTCGTTCTAGCTTTGGCTGCATAGATTACTTTCTTGATGACTGAATTTGTGTTTATACTATGTCAGAAACTTGAAAACTAGAGCTCCGTTGAATTCTAGGGTTTCTTTTTCATATTCATGTATAGCCGAGCAATTAGAGTCTGTTTGGGAATCGAGAAAAGAAAACAAAAGAAAAGAAAAGAAAAGATTGTATTGTGTTCTCTTGTTCTTGTTTGGATAAGTCGGTGCTATCTCGACTAAAGAAAAAAATTCTCCTATCTTGTTTGGTTAGATTACTAAAAATTCTCACACGAGACAAACACGGTAAAAGGAATTAAAGGAATATATAAATTGGGATTGGGGAGTAATGATATGGTATCAGCCAGAGAGATAGCGTGTTAAGATCTTGTTATTACCTCACTTTAACTTGTATTTAATGTAATGATGTGGTGTAGAGTAGATTGTGTGTGAAAAGTGTGGTAGGGAGAGATTCCATGGTGAAAATATTGGCTAGCCGACAGTTGGATGCAACTAGTAAGCATCTAGATGGCTTTCACAATATAGACTCAAATAAAAGTGATGGAAAAAGTTTGCACGTTTTGTATGTCTGTTGAACAATTTAATTTCGAGATCACTTGAACAGAAACCAAAGGTTTTTTAATCCAATATTGTTGGTACTGACTCGATAAGTTGGAGCCCAATTAAGATAGCAATTAACATTGAACAGCAAGAATCAGGACTTTCAACCTCGTCAACAAGAAATTTGTAGCATTAGATTTATAAGACCAAGTCATATGGAAAAACTATGAACAGAACAGTGCATGAGAAATCTAATACTTTGCTATCTCGAAGGTGCTAGTTGTGGAATAGCGCATGGTTTGCAGCGTACCATACTAGCAAGTAGCAATTCAATTTTATACTAGTTTCCTGTTAGCATGAGGCCCCCTGCCCATGTGAGATCACCTAGCTTCAACGCCTGAGAAAAATTAGAACAAGCCTAACCTTGTCATAGAAAATTCCCAATTGACGCAACAAAAAGGCGTTTAGTAAGGTGTTGTTATGTAACAGTAAGAACATCATTAAGGTTTGTATCTCACAATCTCATTAGATGTGTCAGGATAAAACTTCTGTGTCTTTCTTTCTTTCTTTCTTAACAAAAAATGAAAAAAAATAAAAGAAAGAAAGAAAAAGAAAGAAGTGACCTGTGAAGGATAAATAAAGATGCAAAAGTATTTGCAACAAGTGTGCAAAAGTAATGAGTCGGGTTGCTTAAACTAGCTCTTATGTGCCCAGTTAGAGAGTTTGAGTCATAGATGACCTTGTGATATTGCTTGTGTCAAAAAAATTTATTGCCAAGATTGACTAATGAAAATAAGTTAATAACCAAACAAGTCTTGTGTCCCAATCAAGTGGGACATGGATCGTTTTTGTCTACTATTCTACAATACGATGCTCTTAGGAACAGTTCCCAACTTTTTCAATGTTTTCCAAGTACGATTAAGTGCAGTGAGTAGTTGTATATAGGGGAAAATATCACAAGTTTCTAATTCCACTATCACTATGATTTGTATCTAAACTTTAAAGATACCGTAGTTGACTTTGTTTCCTGCTCAAAGTTGCTAGACAGTATGCTCATGCATTTGGCTTTTGGACCCACCCTTTTGCATTTACTCACTTTTAACCCCACTCGGACAATCACACCGCTGATTGAGCATTTGTGGTGATATCAAGGCTCCTTCAAGTAGGATCCTGGTGTTTAACAGATGGAAACTTCTGTGAACTTTGTATTGAGCAAAACTCCATTTTGCAAAGTCATTTAATAGCATTTTTAGATGTTTTCACTGTAAATATGCTAATCTTTTGCAGCCTATATGCTTTCTAAGTTTTATGCATTCTCAGTCACCTTACAAGTCAAATTATGTTTGGCACTCCCTTAAGAAGACTGGTGGGGAACTGCTCATATTATGGACTATTATTCCTTTACATTTTTAGCGTAGAATTCAGTTCCGACAAAATTTGAACATGTCCTTCGGAGGATATGGAGAATGCTTGATAGCCATCAGCACTATGGTTCTACCTTGTTCTGTATATAAGAGAAGCATACCTGATGGAAACTACTGACAAAGACTGGATGAGCCGCTGGAAGCCCCTTTGACTAGGAAGCACGGATACAGATACGGGATACGGATATGATACGATACGGATACGGCGATACGACAAAATTTGAAAAACTAGGATACGGGTGCGGCGGGGATACGTTCGTAAAAAATATTATTTTAACAATTTTTAGTAATGCAGTATGCATAAAAATAAAACCTAAAGCAAAAGACAACTTGATAAAGAAGAAAGATTCCTATAAAACTAAAAGCCTTCAAGGTCAATAGCTTCAACTGGTTCCCCTTCATCAGTGAATATCACAAGATCTTAGGTAAAGCCAAAAAACCATTCTTAAATAAAAATTTCAGCAAATATACTTTTTTAAGTCATCAATGATAGCCTAGGAAGCACGGATACGGATATGCTGATATGGGGATGTGGATATGGCGATATGTCAAAACTTGAAAAAGTATGATACGGGTACAGCGGGGATACATTCGTAAAAAAAAATTTATAATTTTAAAAAAATTTATAATTTATAATTTCAAACATTCATAAAACATCCAAAATTAAAAGTAAAAGCAAATGTAAATTAAACATCATCCTTACATGCCAACATCAAAAAAAGAATGAGAGCAGAGAGAAGAAACGTGAGAGAGCGAGAAAGCGAGAGAGACAACAAGGATACATCAATTTGACAAATTCTATTACTTTAACTCTCACTATATTCCTTTTATCAAAGAACTAAACAAAATATTATAAATAATATGTAACTTCGAGTATCCGATACTTCAAAATTAAGTATCCGATACTTCAAAATTAATAAAAAATTAATTAAGAAGTATCCGATACTTTTAAAAAGTATCCGATACATATCCGCGAGTATCCGAAGAGTATCGGTATCCGATAAGTATCCAATACGGATACGTCACCCTTTTTGAAGTATCCGTGCTTCATAGCCCTTTGAAGGTTTGAAGGGCACATGTTTATTGGCATTGCATGATGTTTCAAGAATGGTTTAATGTTCAATGACTACCTTTATGTCAGGAAAATCTGAGATCATGTTGTCTGCCCATGTTGAACCGTATTGTGCGTATTGATTCTAAATATTGTGGGGCTTTATTTTTGTCTCTTCCTTGAAGTGTAAATTAAAGGTCAATCAAGATTTCGGGTTAAAATTTTATTTTGTTAAATCAGGAATTGTTGGACCAATTATTGAAATAGTCTATTCAATTTCAGCAAACACGGGGACAGATATGAAACGTGTGTTTGCTAGTTAAGTTACAAATTAAAAACATGATGTAAAGGTAGTTGAAAATGGTGTAAGTTGTAACCATCAATCTTTTTGTGATTCTGATTCCTCTACATCCATGTTCAATGTATCTAACCTGATCTGATGCAGTAGATGTGGTTTTGCCCCTATTGGGAGGTATGTTGTGCAAGAACTTAAAAGCATTATAATTTTGATGTCGCATCTGATTGGCTTATGAAGTCAAATCTTGAATTTGAGTTCTATGACTCTATCTGAAATAAGCATTGTTTAGATGAATACTTATCACTTTCCCATCTTCTTACTTGTAGTGATGGACAATTACATGAATGCCCCTCAATATCTTTATGGCTTAAGTCGTTCACAAATGGACATGTTCATGACTGAAGATAATCCCATCCGCCGACAGTCTGAAAGTGTCACAGAGGTTTATTCTCTTTACTTGTTGCTTCATTTCTGTTCACTATATATCTAAGTGGCTATATGGTTGATAAATTTGATCAGCGTTGCTGCTGTTACACCACAATAATAGTTATTTATTTTAACTTAGTCCTCAATTTCAACAAATTTATCCAAATCCTATTGTGACTGATTGAGTGTCCCTCAGAGATCCTTATTCCTGGAGAACTTTTGACAGGAAAGCATCGGATCTGCCAGCAATTATTTGAATCATGGAGGAATGTGGAGTTTATCAGGCATGACTGAAAGAGGTCCTTCAAAATACAGCATGAGTGTAAGCATGTACCGTGGAGGAGCTAGAGGGTATGGAAGGCCCAGGACTGCTCCTCCTGATTTGCCATCTTTGCTTTTGGATGCTCGAATTATCTATCTGGGAATGCCAGTAAGCTCCCTGCATTTTTCTCCTAGTTAGCATATCAACCCTACTGACTTAAACTTTCTTCTTTCTATTTCAATGCACTTTCCATTTGATTTGTAACAACTTCATATTTTTCTGTCTGATTGCTACAGATTGTGCCAGCAGTAACTGAGCTTCTTGTTGCTCAGTTCATGTGGTTGGATTATGATAACCCATCAAAGCCTATATATTTGTATATAAATTCCTCTGGGACTCAGGTTAATACTTGAACGTATAGCATTTCTCCCATTTTTATCTCTTTTTTTCTTCTTATTATCAGTCCATTTATTTGAGATGCTAAGGCAAGATAAAATATTTCTAGGTTGCTTTTAGTACTTTGTTTGTTGTCTCCTTGTTCATTCGATTCAAAGCATGTATTCCTACATGTATTTATTTGTTGGGGAAATTATGGACCAGTGGTACAATCAAAAAATTATTACAAATTCATAAAAGAATTTATAATTTTAATTATTAATTTGTATAAAGTTTACCACTTATTTGCAATTTTTTTTTTAAAAAAAAATCTAAACTGAAGTGGAATTTCCCCTTATTTGTTTCTGTTATGCATTTGCCCAGAATGAGAAGATGGAGACTGTCGGAGCTGAAACAGAGGCATATGCCATTGCTGACACCATGGCTGTAAGGATATTTATATATGGTATTATTTTTTGTAGTTATATGCCTGCAAATTAGGTAAAGCATACATGAAAAAATTCACGAAGTTTGTTTTTTTCATAAACAAGAAATAGGTGTTACTAAAAATAAAAGATAACAGAACTGTACCCAAAGGGTAAAGTCATCCTGAAATTTCCAGATCCAAAGTTTGTCTATATTTTACATAAAAGGAGATATCTCAACTGTATTCATGAGGCCCTTGTTTAGCTTGTCTAATAGTGTATTAAATTCAGCAAATTAACATTCTTTGGTTTTTTTTGACTAAAGTACTGCAAATCAGACGTCTACACAGTGAATTGCGGCATGGCGTATGGTCAAGCAGCAATGCTTCTCTCACTTGGAGCCAAGGGTTTCCGCGCTATGCAACCAAATTCTTCCAGTATGATTCATTTTCTCTCAACAGTACTATCAAATTTTTTTGTCAAATTTTATAATTCACCCATAGAAGTTGTCAAGAATAAGATGATGTTGCCCTCTACATCCTCTTATCTATTTTTTTAATAAGTATGCGTCCTTCAATTGACATTATGTAATTTTATTGAGGATTAATTTGGTCTTATTTTATGTTTTCGTAAGTGAGTGAGCTGCCTGTATGATTTTATTCATGTTTTATCAGGTATAAGAGTTAGGAATATATTAGTTATTTTGCAATTTACTGGACATGGGTTGTAGGGGTCACCTGCGGGTTGCATTATGGATCAAGTAATATTTTTTATTGTGATTTAGCTTCTTGCTTTTGGTCAAGGATTTAAGGTGGATATAGAAAAAACAGGAAGGATTTTTATAGGTTGTAAGTCTTGTGTTTTTAATAGCCTCTAACAAACATATGTCGGGCCTATAATATTATTACTTTAGGTCTTCACCCAATATGTAAACTTGAGTTTGAGTCTCCTTAACTTACAACTACCTTGGGGTGTGACAAATGTTGATAGTTTTTCCTTGTAGCAATTTTCTTTGGCTTCAGTTAGAATAGTGATCTTCTAGGCATCAAATTCTTCTCTTATGTGGCAAAGACCAGAAGAATTGAACCAGTAACCCCAAGCCTCTCTTTTTGATGCCACACCAACACTTTTTTTTATGATGTTTCATTATGTACAATAGTTTGTTTATATTTGCTGAATGTGTACGAGGTTTCTAACTCTCGCATATTCATTTGAGACCATTTTTATTATCCATCTACCACTAGGAAAATGTCCCGTACCTCTTTCCGAAATGCATTTTGAGACTAAGAGCTAATTTGCTGCTCACTCGTGGTTTCATTCCCCTGACGATGTTGCCTGCGAATGTGTAGCTCAAAAAGCTGGACCTTTATTTGATAGGGGTCATATGAGGTGTGCTTCATTCATAGTATTTTTTTTTCCTTACTCGTTTTTCTGCCATATTTAATTGTAACCAAACCAGACTAAACTAAGTTTGTCTCCCAATCAAATGGGACCGATTGCATAAATCTTTTTTCGCCATTTTGTTCTGTCAATGGCTATGTGCTCACTTATACGTAATTGTATTGCAGCAAAATTGTATCTCCCTAAAGTCAGCAGGTCAAGTGGAGCTGTCATAGATATGTGGATTAAGGTTCTCTCTCTCTCTCTCCCCTTGTGTGTGTGTCTGTATGTGCGAATGACTTAGTGATATTTTACTTCCTTTCAGGCCAAAGAACTGGATGCAAACTCCGAATATTATGTAGAGCTGTTAGCAAAAGGAACTGGGAAATCAAAGGACGAAATCAGTAAAGACGTCCAGCGCCCCAAATATTTCCAAGCTCAAGAGGCAATTGAATATGGCATTGCAGACAAGATCATCAGCTCAAGGGATATTGCATTTGAGAAACGGGTAGATTTCTCTTTACATTCTCTGCCTTCTTTCTTCCCTTGGATGGCCTTTCTTCCTGCCCATTTTAACGGTTAACTTCTCGTTGACACAGAATTATGATGAGATGCTTGCCCAATCGAAAGCCATGAGGAGAGCAGCGGGAGTTGGTCCACAAGCAGCTCCCTCTGGAATTAGGTAACTGCAAAACAGTCAAATCACTGTTACTCAAATGACTGGGATTCAAGGGTTCTACTTTTGTGTTGTATCTTTGCACGATGGAGGAGCCAGTTACGTTTGAAGCTTAAATGGATTCTATAGTTCTAATATGAAAGAAAGCTACTCTCCGATTTTGTTACCAGGTGGCACTTTGTCTTCGGCAGTTGTCATGTAAAATGCTGTGTACATGGGTATTTTGGAAAACAGGATAATGTTTGTTCATTTTACTACTGGGATGTTTACTGTGATCAAACATGAAAAGGAAATTTTAAAAACTCAAAATAGTAAATTTTAATCTAGATACAGAAATCATGCTGATTGGAGATTGTTGTGCGAGTTATGATCTTGATGACACTGATGGGTTCCAATATAGCCACATAAACCCAAATTTATGATCCATTACGTGCCAATTATGATTGACAAAACCACAGTTGCACCAAAGGGTGTTGATATTTATGCTATAATTATAAGATTCTAGGAGGATTTAAATAGGAATGACAATGGATAACCTATTATGTGGGTATTTATGGAGACCTAACCCAAATGTATGGGTTTTTTTTTTTCTTCATTCATTGGATATGATAAGTGATATTCTTTAAATATCTACAGGGGATGGGTCAAGGATGGGTATTTATTAATTTCTCCATATGTTTTGTTTTGTTTTTTTTTTTAAGATTCACAACCAAAGTTAAATATACCTTCAATCTTTTTTTTTTAAATTTTGTTTTTGTTTTTAAGGTTCACAACAAATTTTTTTTTTTTTTTAAGATTCACAACTAAAGTTAAATATATATTCAATCTTATTTTATTTTATTTGGCTCAACAGCAAAATCAAATACACATTAATTAACATTGTCACATTATTCTTGTTAAATTTTATGCATATCTAGAATTTTTTTAATTTATTTAGAAAAATTCTATTCCTACAAAAAAATTTCATCTTTTTTAATTTTTTTTTAATTTTATGTATCTCCTCCTCTCTATTAATTGATCTTCGATAATCTGAAGGTGAGTTATTGCTCCCGTTTCCATATTCTTCGTCTTCTTCTTCTTCTTCTTTTTAAAAATTTTTATTTGCGTTTATAGAATAAATTTTCTTGTTTTAATATCTCTTGCAATTGTTTTATTGAATTTCTCTCTGATTTGATAGTAGCCTTAGATTGAATTTTTCAATTTTCATCTTAACTAGTGATCACCTTAATTAAAATTTTATACATTTTTGTCTTCAATTTTCATGTTTTGGTTATGATTAATTGCGCGTTTTTGATCGATAGTCACAATCTTGTCACCGCTAAATTGTCGCCATCGCAAATCGCCATTGCTGTAGAGAGAGGATGAGAGAGAGTGAGAATTAGAACTCTAATTGTTAACAAAGTAGTGAAAACATATGAAGAAATTATTTTTCGATGTACCCAAAAAACAAAAATATGGGAAAATTAGTGGGTACCCATCCCCGATTGAGATTTAAAGAACATTACTTACCCTACCCGACGAACAAGAAAAAAGGGGAAATCCAAATATTTAGGTTGGGTCTCCATAGATATCTACATGGTAGGTTATCCATTGCCATCCCTATTAACAATTAAAATTCTAATTTTCACTCTCTCATCCTCTCACTACAACAACGGCGATTTGCGATGATGACAATCTAGCGGTGACAAGATTGTGACTGTCGATCAAAAATGCACAATTAATCATAACCAAAACATGAAAATTGAAGACAAAATTGTACAAATTTTCAATTAAGGTGATCACTAGTTAAGATGAAAATTAGAAAATTCAATTTAAGGTTACCATCAAATCAGAAAGAAATCCAATAAAAAAATTACAGGAGATATTGAAACAAGAAAGCTTATTCTATAAATACAAATAATTTTTTTTTTTAAAAAAAAAAAGAAGAAGAAGATGGAAATGAGAGCAATAACTCACTTTCAGATTATCGAAGATCAATTAATAGAGAGGAGAAGGAGATACATAAAATTAAAAAAGAAGATGATTTTTTTTTTTTTTGTAGGAATAGAATTTTTCTAAATAAATTTAAAAAATTCTAGATATACATAAAATTTGACAATAATAATGTGACAATGTTAATTAATGTGTATTTGATTTTGTTGTTGAGCCAAATAAAATAAAATAAAATTGAATGTATATTTAGCTTTGGTTGTGAATCTTTAAAAAAAATTTAAAAAAAATTTGAATATGTATTTAGGGATTATTTGGGATGATCTAAATAAGTACACGTTTTAACTTTTTACAAAAAAACGTGAAATATAAGTTGGGTTTGAAGTGATGTGGTAGAGAGATGCTGTGATTTAAATGAGATGATATGACTTAAATAGAATAGTGACTTTTTGACTTTTTGAATTTTTTGTATTATGCCAAACTAGGCCTTAGCTTTGGTTAAGATGGAATTTTTCGAAATAAATTTTAAAAATTCTAGATATACATAAAATTTGACAAGAATAATGTGACAATGTTAATTAATGTGTATTTGATTTTGTTGTTGAGCCAAACAAAATAAAATAAGATTGAATGTATATTTAGCTTTAGTTGTGAATCTTACCCCAAAAAAAAAAGGATTGTAAACCTTAAAAAAATAAAAATAAAAATTGAATGTATATTTAGCTTTGGTTGTGAATCTTATCCAAAAAAAAAAAAAAAAAATTGTGAACCTTAAAAAAAAAAAAATTAAAAAAAAAGAGTAAATGTATATTTAGTTTTGGTTGTGAATCTTAAAAATAAAAAATAAAAAATAAATAAAAAAAGGGGGGGTCAAGTTGGGTTGGGGAATATCCAAGGGTAGTACCAATGGAGAATGGGAAAAAATAATTGTAGGGGAATGAGGATGGAGAATTAATATCCACCCTATTAAATCCCATTGCCATCCCTAGATTTAAAGCTCGAAGGTAATATGAGAATCTACCATTGAATCAATGATCAGTCTACATTTTGAGTTTGGGAAAGTTCCATTTGAAACAATGAAACCTTGCAGTTTAATATTAAATACAAACATGGGGAATAACTACTATTAGAAGAAAGAGTAAGCTGCAGTTTAGACTTATGTAGTCGGGTTGGGGTATGCTTTCGGCTTTGGCTTCACTTCAACTTCATTTACACTTCGAACAAAGATAGCATCTGGTTCATGACTGCATTGAACAGGACATAAGTAGAAGTTAGCCACAAACACGTACATAGAGAGAGAGAGAGAGAGAGAGAGAGAGGGAGAGAGCTCTAATTCTTACGGTTTATCTCCCTCTTCATATGTATAACTGGATGCCACAGCCAACAGTCGGCCATCTCTGCTGAACGACAAGGCAGCAATGCTTGTCGGGTATTTTGAGTACTACAGATTAAAATTGATGAACAAAAGCACTAATTAATTCACTTCCAATGAATAGGTAACTAACTCTAACGAAATAGAATGTGTCAGACTTGTTTCTCTATATATTTTACCTGATACAACCTCTTCTTATTGTTGCCATCCCACACGTTCACATAACCATCGCAACCCCCAGTAGCAAATGTACCATAGCTGCATGTAGAATTTGTTAAGAAGGAATATGAAGTCATTTCATGCAAGCTTTGCTCCATTGCTCATACAGGTATATTTGCATGAGCACTTCCTTAATTTCAAGGTTCCAAAATTGCACAAAATTGACATGGTTTGACCCTAGTTTATATTTTGCTGCTGCTTATTTTATTTTATTTTTCTATATTGAAATAGTTTTCAAAAAAAAAAAAAACTAGAGTGGGAACCCACCCGAGCACACTATAATGTGTGTAATTCAAACTGCAGTCAGACCACAGCACATTACCAGAAGGATTTCACGTTTAGTGGGAACAATCATACTAAGCAAACAAAGGATTGTGCTTCAAAGCAACAATTAACAGGGATAAGAAAATCCAACCATTAATTTTCTCTTAATTTAAGAATTTTTTTTTAAAAGAAAGCGGCTATCTTCCCAAACACTAAAAATTTTTTATCTCATAAAAACCTACATCTAATAAAATCTACATAAAAACTCACTTCCCAAACACCATCTATAATGTGTGTAATTCAAACTGCAGTCAGACCACCTATGAAGCACGGACACTGACACGGACATGGACACGGACACGGATACGGACACGGGACACGGCAATTTCCAAAAAATGGGGACACGAACACGGCAGGGGACACGGCGATTTATATATATATATATATTTTTTTATGTGTTATGTAGATTCGTATTACATTCATTCTAAATCAAAATAACAAACACTAATATAGTACCATTAATTCAATAAATATAAGAGAGGCAAAAGATTCAACATCCAACATCCAACATTAAATATAAGGGGAAAACATCCAACATCTAACATCCAACAATATTCTTCACAAAAACACCAAATAAGAGACAAAGAAGAAGAAAAAAAAGAAAAAGAAAAAAAGAAGTAGGCCTTTCAAAACTTCAAGTAGATCCAATTTATTGCACGTCTTCATCATCATTAGCATCACCACCTTTTTCTTCGTTTGCACCTCCATCATCTGTAAACAACACAACCTCCATCTCAGGTTCATCAAGTGACAGATTTGCAACCTCAAGCATTCCAACATCATCAAATGAATCAAATGTGTCGCCCGCAATATCCCATAACTTGGTCTCTCCTTCATGGTATTGTGGGGTTCTCCTTGATAAAAGACGGAGGTTGCTATGAACAAAAACCAAGTCCTCTGCACGTTGGGGTGTCATCTTGTTTCTTCTCATTGAATGGATAAAAGAGTATATACTCCAATTCCTCTCAGCACATGATGAAGAAGAAGGTTGCACAAGTAGCCTTAAAGCCAAACATTGAAGAGTGGGTGCAGATGCACCATGAACAACCCACCAACTATGAGGATCCATATCACATCTATCTCCAATGGAATCAATGTCAGCAAATGGCCCCTCTTTTGTTGAGAACTTAGCATACTCCAAATTTGCTTTAGTGCGCTCCATTGGATCATCAAAGAGAGAGCTCTAATTCTTACGGTTTATCTCCCTCTTCATATGTATAACTGGATGCCACAGCCAACAGTCGGCCATCTCTGCTGAACGACAAGGCAGCAATGCTTGTCGGGTATTTTGAGTACTACAGATTAAAATTGATGAACAAAAGCACTAATTAATTCACTTCCAGTGAATAGGTAACTAACTCTAGCAAAATAGAATGTGTCATACTTGTTTCTCTATATATTTTACCTGATACAACCTCTTCTTATTGTTGCCATCCCACACGTTCACATAACCATCGCAACCCCCAGTAGCAAATGTACCATAGCTGCATGTAGAATTTGTTAAGAAGGAATATAAAGTCCTTTCATGCAAGCTTTGCTCCATTGCTCATACAGGTATATTTGCATGAGCACTTCCTTAATTTCAAGGTTCCAAAATTGCACAAAATTGACCTGGTTTGACCCTAGTTTATATTTTGCTGCTGCTTATTTTATTTTATTTTTCTATATTGAAATAGTTTTCAAAAAAAAAAAAACTAGGGTGGAACCCACCCGAGCACACTATAATGTGTGTAATTCAAACTGCAGTCAGACCACAGCACATTACCAGAAGGATTTCACGTTTAGTGGGAACAATCATACTAAGCAAACAAAGGATTGTGCTTCAAAGCAACAATTAACAGGGATAAGAAAATCCAACCATTAATTTTCTCTTAATTTAAGAATTTTTTTTTAAAAGAAAGCGGCTACTTATCTATGATCCAGAAAAGAGGCAGTAAAGAATGTATGTATTATTGCTGAACTCTATGGTCCCTCTGCTACAAGAAAGAGAATTTCAGGAACTTACATGGGATGAAATGCAATGGCATTTACAGGGTAGACAATGTCCCTTCCAGCTTCGGACTTTCGATGACACTTGAATGCATATCTGCAAAAAGCTCAAAACCATGAAGCAGTGAAATACTGCCCAAAACACAGTTTGTGCAAACATGTATATAGCCATGCTGGCACTTTCCATGCTATAAGGCCCTAATGGGAGAACGTTTCCCTCCCCTGTAGTCTACTCAAATAACATTCTAAGTGTGTTAAATACTAGCCGATACATATTGGGATTTTAGACTTCTGATAGTGATATTCACCAGATTATCGGCCAATAAATGATAGGTATCCCAATATCGTTATTCAAAACACACAAGTCAGAAGAGTGCCACTGTCATTTCACAAAAAAAGAAAAAAAGAAGAAAAAAAGAAAAAGTAGTCATGAAAAATCCAGAAAAAAATAGTAGTCATGAAACCTCCTAATGTTTCTCTGACAAATGACAGTACAGCACGCTAGGATGTGGTAGACCATTATCCATCAACAGAAAAATCCAGTAAGTTACATGTTTATAAGATTTTCACTTCAATTGAATTATATCACATAAAGATTAATGAAACCATCGATTAATCTGTGCAATTAATTGTGATCCTCGGGAAGTACTCCAATGCAGGAATCCAGCACAATTCAACAAAAACCTAATAATAAGAAGTTTGAATAAGGCCTAGAAAGAGCAATCATTAAGAAGACCAGAAGCTAACCATTTCGTGCTCATAAATGGTGCAAACTAATACATACTTTTTCGATTGGCCAGCTTCGGAAAGATCAAAAAATTCCATTGCAATCCGACCTTCGACAGAGCTAAGAGCATAACCTGCACAAAATAGTCTGGTTTAAAAAATCAAACACGAATGCATTGCATGTAAAAAGATCATTGAACTAAATTAGATGGATGCTTGATCGGAGTTTGTCACTATACTTGAGGATCTCCATTCTAGTAAAAAATGACTCAACTACACCATATTAAATTATCTAACATTAAGAAGGAACTTTTAAGACATTACATAGGTTAATATTTTTCAATAAAGTTTAGAATTCATTCTTCGTTCAAAAAAAAGGAAAAAAAGAATTCTTTCTCTCTTGAAAGTACAAGTACAAAACAAAAAAAGCAGCCTTGGTAACACCAAAATGTCATTTGACTGGAAAATTGAAATTTCAATGAATAGATAAAAACAGCTTGATTCTGTCATACTATTCTAGCATCAAAAGATGTAGAAAACCAACAACAGTGAAATATAAATTTTGCCACACTGTAAGCTAACTTTCCACACTTCAAGCTGTTCAGATGGATACCTGTTCCATTGGGATAACAGCGTACACATCTAGTTTGGTATTTCAATGAAGATTCCTTTCGCTGCTCAGGTTGAGACATATTCCGCAAATCATAAACATTCACATGCCTTCCTGCAGTTGCTACAACTAAACGATTTCCAACAAGAGACATTGAATAGATACGCTCAGGTTGTGCATATGTCCCAACAATAGTGCGCTCCTGCCCACTTGCACCTCTAGGATCCCAACATTTCAGGGTTTTGTCCCAACTACCAGTGATTACTTGCCCTATAATCATAGACAGATGATAAATGTGTTATCGACCAGGAATTATTTTGAAAAAAAAAACAAATATCATGTGCGAATACTACATACACATGCAATCAAGTGATACATTGATACTGCATAGTATTAACAATAGCATTATGATGAATCCATTTAATGAAACATAAGAACATGAGATGACGTAAGTATCAGACATTAACTTGGGATCATAATCAATCGTCATTCAATGAGAAACAGCATCTAGGTTAACAACTTATGAAGTTATTTTGTCAAGCCCTGATCAATGAACCTACAAAATCCTTCAAATTGCTACTAAAACAACAATGCATCCTCACTCTTAAAACTCCATCTGCTTTGATGTAAAATATTTTACCCGAGAAAGTATTCTCCAAGTGCAAGTGAAAGTTGTGGCATGGGACACAACTCTCACTTACTCTGTCCTCCATGAAAATGCAATTACTTTGAATTGTTCCTACGTAAATTCAATTTCCCATAAAGAACAAATGAATTAACTACAAAAGTGAAAATGTGGTAGTTATCTCTGAACCAACCTGTTGCATATGAGTATTCAATACATCGCACTGGTGCATCATGCCTTCCCAAAATATCCTCCTTGCCTAAGCTGAAAACAAGCCTGAAGCATCAAACCAAATAAATACATCAGTTATAAAGCTTAATAAAATAATATATGTGAACATTTTTGTTAGCATTACGACATGTGGATGGTGGAAGGCAAGCACACTAGTTTGGAGCCCTGAAGTAAGTATGGTAGCCACTGAAATGGTGAGAGACAACTGGAGGGGAACAGCAAGAGGGTTGAGCAATTCTGTGGCATGTACCACGACTAGGTGATGCTCTTGGGAGGAAGGGAGAAAGAGGGTGAGAAGTTGAGAACTAGAGGTGATGAACCAAAGTCTTCAAGTTGTCGAAGGAGAATGCTTCTTAGGCCCTTGCCTATGAAACACGGACATGGATACGGATATGGATACGGACACGGACACGAGATACGGCAATTTCAAAAAAATGGAGACACGGACACGGTGGGGGACACGGAAAATTATTATTATTTTTTTAAATATATATGTTACATATTTGCTATGTAGATTAATTTTATATTACCAAACAATCAAAATTAATAAAAACTAATATTAATTTACTGTGTATATAAAGACCATTACATTTAAACATTATAAACATATGTTCTATCTATTGCAAACATTATATAAAGAAAAAAATAAATATATAATACAAATAATTTACAATATATAAATTTATAAAGAAAAAATTAAATTAAAATATACAATATATATATAAATATCTAATCATAAAATAAATAAAAAATAAAAAAGAAAGAAGACAAAGAGACGAGATATAATATATATAAACTAAAATATAATATAAATATATAAAAATATCTGATCAACGGAGAAGAGAGCGAAACGAGATAGAAGAGAGAGAAGACAAAGAGACGAGAGAGAGGCGAGAGGTGAAAAGAGAGAAAAGAGCAGAGAGAGAGAGAGAGAGAGAGAGACGAGAGAGATGGAGATCGACTGAGAGAAGAAATAGACGAGAGAAGAGAGGCAGAAATGATCGAAGAGAGAAGACTGAGAGAGAGAGAGAGAGAGAGAGAGAGAGAGATTGAGAGCGACGAAGACGAAGACGAAGACGAAGAAGACAATTGAAGACCAACCACCGATGACCGACGACTCACCAGCGAAGAGGTTCTAGGTATGCCCAATGAGCCTCTCTCTCTCTTCTGTTCTGAATTCGATTCTTGTTTTGATATGGACACGCGTGTCCCTGCCGTGTTCCCTACAAAAAAAATATTAAATTAAAGGAACACGCCATCTGGCATGTCCCATATATGTCCCTGGCGTGTCCGACAAGTCCGCATGTCGGACACCGCCACGGCACCGATTTTGGAGTTTCCATGCTTCATAGCCCCTCGCTATTGGAGAAGTTGTGCTAGGAGACGAGGAGTTCATTCCACTAGGCATGGTGATGCAATTTAGTTCGAAAAATCCATACCAAATATAATAAAATAATGATTGAATATGTGTTGTCAAAGTTGCATTCCAATTTTCTCATAAAATGCATAGGCCACATGATCATGTATACTGATCTCTCTTAGGACACCAACTAAAGAAAGAAACCTCATTCCTCATATCTTTCACCAAAAAAACAGCAGAAAATTTGCATAAAGTTTAGAATAGACAACCAAAAAAATCATACCACATCTAGCATCTTGCAACCACCACACTTGCACTGACTCTCTAGACATAAGGAAGGCAACAAGGCGAGTTTTTTTTTTTGTAGGTCTCTCGTTGCCCACCTGCCCTAATTCACATCAAAACAACTTTTCACTCTTCTGAGGCATCAGCCCATCTAGAAGTTTGAAAATGGATGAGGGACGTAAACTATTGCGGGCTTTACTCAATACACATAGCGAGCTTCTAGTTTGTGCATTCCATTGTCTAGAAGTAGACAAATGGTGCTCTAAAAATGTGATTTTGGATATATATATAATCCTGTTGAGGATAATCTAGCAAAGGGTACCTTACATCAGTTGATAGAGCACCATAATTTAAACTAAAACCATAATTTAAATTCAAAACATAATTCAAATTCAACCCATTATCCAGTACTACTAGTGTTCAAATTCCCATTCTTTCTAACAACTATCACTTATCAAATTAGCATAATTATTACCTAAAATGCCAATTAGGGCACAACTTGGTCTTACCTCCTCACAGTATTATCAGCACTAGCACTGAACCCCGAAGAATCGTCATGGAAACAGCAATCCAATACAGGACCTCCGTGCATGAACTCTCCTCTCAACACATTGGCACTCGCATCGTACAACCGAACACTCTGACAAACAAAAAAAGCCCACAGCATTAACAGAAGTGAGTTTAATTCGAGATCTAACAATATTGAAGAAACATATCAAAACTAAGATAGAAGGTTCCAGAATTACCTTGTCCCAAGACGACACCAGGAGGTGATCGCTGTGATTGGAGAAGCGAAGGTTCGATATACCGTCGGACGGCGAATTCAATAGCTCCCGTCCGGCGACCTGTGGCACCGCCGTCATGATCTTGTCGGTGTCCTGGTGAAAAAACTAGGGTTTCTAGTGCAGCAGAGAGAGAACGATAGTGAAGTGAGTGACAACAGTGAGAGCGAAGAGGAGAGAGAGAGAGAGAATTTTGAAAATATGAAAACAGAAAGTATCAGTTGGATAGGTGAAGCGGCGGACTCTGTACCGACGCCTTTTTTTAAATGTCAGTTTAAAATGTTTTTTTTTTGTTGTAAATAATAGTAAAACCCCTCAAGTATGATTTGTTTGCATGTCAGCCCCCTTGATGTTGGAAAATTTGACAAATAACACCTCCCTTCTACTGTGGAAGAAAATGGACTTCGTTTTTAAAAAAAAGTAGTAATTAATTAGTAGTTTGAGGGTACTATGTAATGTATTGTTCTAGGGAAAAAAATTTATCCATCGGATAGTGAGAAATTATATTTTCATACCTTTATTTATCTCAATGTATATACTTAATGAAATTTTTTTTGAATGATAATTATATCTTAAAGTAAAATAACCATAATAGATATCAAAACCCTAACTAACTCATCTCATATTTTCTCATCTTTCTCTTTACCAACAACAACAAACAAATCCACACAAACTCTTTTGTTTTTTCCCCCTTTCTCTATAATCAATTCAATTTGTCTCGGTTACAAATCCAATGGAGAGTAATAGAAAAAAAGATAATCTTGAATGGTTCATCGTTAACAATTCAAAAATGATTTCATTTTAAGAACTACATATTCTTTCCAGTGGAAACGTGAATGCTTTGGGTATATTGTGATGGTACGTGCAAATACATTGATTTATACTTCTATAGAAATGAGGATTCTTTATAATGACATACTGCACAGAAATGCAGCATATGAATCACTTGGTGGGGATTACTTTATAAATTATGTTTCCATCTTACTTGAATTTGCTTAATTGTAATTTATTGTGTGAATTTGTTGTGGGATGGACTCACGAATTGATATATTATTTCTCTTTTAGAGCTCTCATTTTCATGCGTGTTTTTATTTAAATCATTCAATAGGATAAAGGTTCAAGTTATGTTTTTCGCAAATGGGGTCATGTTGGAAACAAAAAAATTAGAGGAAGTAATTAACTAAAAGATATGTCAAAATCATATACAATGGTCACTTTTTTCTCATCATCATCGCCTCTAACTACCTGTTTGATTTTTCAACGAGTTTTTTGACAAATTTTGCTTTCCAATAAAGCCCTCTTTGGAGAGAATTGGTGCCGAAAAATCAATATTTGAATAGCTGTGTGAGTGTGTGTCTAGATGGAAAGTGTGCGTACAATATCTGAGTTAAGGATTATAATTAGAATATGTAATGTGTGAAATAAAATAAATAATACTTAATCAAATTTATAAGTATATGTATTGAGAAATGATGTGCATTAAAATAAATAAGTGTGTGTAAATGAAATTTCCTTAGATAATGGATGATCAATTTTAGTGTGTTTTGTGGAGCACTATAGTCATTGACTAATACTACGACTCCTTTTGAGAAGTGGGTTGAAAGCCACTTCCAAGCTTTTAATTCACTTTCAGCTTTTAACCATATTTCCAAAATATCCCTACATCAGCCTGGTTCAGGAAGTTAATTATTTTAGTTGGCTATTTGATTTTTTAACTATTTTAACCTGATTAAAAAATGTTATATTTGAAATGTTAATTGGTTATTTTTATTTTTTATAATTGATTTGATAATTATGAGAAAAAAAATAAAATAATTATGAGTTAGATGTAATATTTTATCTTATTAATTATTTTAGATTATTTTATCTTAATTATCAATAAAAACAAAGACTCTGTTTGGTAGGGCTCTCCAAATATATTTATACCTTCATTTTTGAGTATCTTGTTTGTTTACAATTTTTAAAAGTTAATTCCACACTTATTTTTGAAAATTATTTTCAAGGTTAGAAAATTTGGACTAACTGATCGTTCTTCCAAACATTCAGCCAGTTGATCGGAATAGTGCTATTTTTTTTTACAATTAGCACCTTTTATTTTTTATATTTCAAATAAAAAAAATTCAGAATTTTTAATTTTTTTTTATGAATTTTGAATAAATTTTTGAATTATGTGTTTGGTTATAAGTTGTAAATTTTTATATCAAATATCACATATCACGTCAAAAATCTCTCATTCAATTTAAAATTCTTTTCAAAATTCATTCGCTAAACAAATTTTTCACACTCAAATCATAATTTCAAAACTCACAAATTCAAAATACAAATCTATCCCTAAATCAAATTTAAAAAACTCTACCAAATTAGGGAGGTGGTCAACCCCAGGGACGATTCCTTCCGTCTACAAGATTTGAATCAACAATTACTCCGAAAATCGAAACAGTTGTTAGAAAGAAAAAGCAAATTTAACAACATGCGATGAGTGACTCACACACACACTTTCTCATTATTCACAGACCACAGATCTCTCTCCCTCTTCTCGATCGGTGATTCACCTAAAACCCTAAAAATTAAAGTGAAATCTAACTCTGCTTTGATAGTTTCCGAATTTTACAATCTATAACAAGTTCATCAATTCTGCAACCACCGGTCAATGCGATGGTGGTCTGCAAATGCCGCAAGGTACGTATAGTCATAGATCATTCGATTTATTATTTTTATTTTTGTTCAGTTTTAGACTTTTCACTTTCTGGTACTGCTGAAATGTGTTATTTATCCGAATTATTGAATTTATAGGGTTCAGATTCGAGCTCTCAAATTGAAATCTGACCGATATTTGCGTTTTTCGATTTAATTTGTTATCTCAGTTGTGTTTTTTTGTTGTTTACAATAGCTACATCTGAATTAATCAAGGTGGGTAGTTAGCATTGGAGGTATATGAACAATGAATTGGAAAGAAGATTGATTATCTTTAAATATTGTAAACTGTTGTTCACTGTCACTGTGGTTGCCTTAGTTTATATGTTATTGATAGGTTTGAGCTGATGTTATGAAATTTGCTTTCGTTTGTTGTGTAATTTTGGAGACTAATACGCATATGGTGGTTTGGTTTCAGGCAACTAAGTTGTACTGTTTCGTGCACAAGGTTCCTGTTTGTGGAGAATGCATATGTTTCCCAGAACACCAAATATGTGTGGTATGATATTGGAATTTATGTTCATTCAATTATTGTATTATATCTTGTATGATGAGTTCAAGGCATATAGAGATTGTTAACAGCCTAGCCTGTGTTCTCTTAACTTGAACCAGTGTTCTCAGGCCATTCCATTCCATTCCACCAATCAATGGTCCCTTTGTACATATTATGCTAAGGGTTAGGCACTTAGGTCTGTATTTTATCCACTCCTCTTAGTACTCCTGGTCTTAGGACCAACAACAGGGAATGGCCTTATTTCTTAATTGAAGACAAAAAATTAGAGAAAAGATTTGTTGTTGGCATAATGTCTAGCAAACCTAGCTATCTAGTTTTGGCATCATTACATTAACGATTAGCCCTCAAGAATGATTGTTTTTTAATAATTTTTTTTTTAACAGATTAGTGATTTAGAAAACGCAGAAGACTTTTAAATCTAGTAGCTGACATTCTGCAGGAAACTGTTTCAGACATTTGTTAGAAAACCAATGTGCACTTGTGTCATTTTCTTTCTGATTTTGAAGAAAGAAAACCGTACTAAAAAACAAAGCAAATCACACCCTTAAATACTTTGTATTATTTTGGTTGTGGGTTTTAATTAACTGTTGTTACTCATGCTATTTACTTTACTTATTCTGTCATTTTCTTCTTTATTAGAGTGGTATGCACTGCAAGTTTCTCTTTCAGTTGTATGATTTATTTTCTTGGAGCTGTTTGCTTAATCAAGAGTTCTTGTTTGCATGGTAGGATTTACAGCTACGTCGGGGCTTATGTTGTATTTGTTGTCACTGTACAGGTCCGAACTTATTCAGAATGGGTAATAGATGGAGAGTATGATTGGCCTCCTAAATGCTGCCTTTGTCATGCTGCGATTGAAGAGGGAACCGATCCTCAAACTACTCGATTGGGTTGCTTGCGTATGTGATCCTGCACATTGTTAAACCTCATGCATGCAATTTTTATCTTTAATGAAAGCTGGTTGAATTATACCAAATTACTTGCATTTTCTTGGGTTCATATTAGATATTATACATACAAGCTGCTTGGATTCACATATTAAGGGTTTTCCTCCACACACTGCTCCAGCCGGGTATACTTGTCCTGCCTGTTCCACCCCGGTATGATTTTTTTAAGGAAGTTGATCAAAGTTTTATTTATTTCCATTCGTTTCTTTTTGTTTTTTAATGAACTTATTGTGGTTGCATTCCTTTATTACTCTCATCTTATACCTTCAAACAGTTAGGTCCATAACTACTTTTTGTTGAAATTTCCGAAGACAAGTATGCATGTATCGTGTTCGTGTTTTGTTTCTATTGTATCAAAAGTTTCAGATAAGAAGGGATTCATGCTAGTAGTGAACCGGTGATACTTGTTGATTTACCTGTAAGAAAGTATAATCACTGTGAATCTTCAAAAACTAAATCATATATGAAAGTAATCTCGAGGGAGTATAGAATTGTAGATTAACTAGGTTCGAGAATCTAAAAAGCCTTGTCTAAGGCAACCCAAGGTATTAGTCTCAGTCTCATTTTTTGGAGGCTGAGCTTAAACCACTCATTGCAATAAATAGTAGCAGATAGTGTTATTAAAGGCAATAGGCACACCAAGGTGCCAAGGTCTCCTGGGGCCTAGGCTCAAGGCGCAAGGCACGGTGCAGGCTTCATCGAAGTAAGGTGCACTTTGTACGGGAAAAAATATATAATTTAATATAAATAAATAATTTAGAGTTTAACATAAATAAAATGAAATGTTAAACATTTAGTGTTTTTTGGAGATTAGGAATTAGGGCTAATTTTTCTTCTATCATTGATTTGGGGTTGAATACCCAATGTATTGGCATTTGTAATAAGAGTAGGGATCTTCTATAGTTACATCATATTAAATCAATGGTCAGATTTTAAACAAAATCAATTAAAGCAACAATAAAAAAAGATCTCAAGACGCAAGCCTTGGGCTAGTCAGGTGCTATCAAAGTCTCCTGGCCTGGAACATTACAAGACGCAAATCTTGGACCTGGACAGGACTTTGGGCCTAAGCGCCTTATCGAAGTTGCCTAGCTTGGAACACTACAAGGCACAAACTTTGGGCCTGAATGGGACTTGGGCCTAGGCACACACCTAGGCGCGCCTTTAATAACACTGGTAGCAGATAATCAGATCAATTGTGATGGCTCCATTGCTGTCAATTATTTTTTCATTTACTACGAAGTTTTGAGTTTTTTGATATATATGACTCAAAATACTTCCTTTCGATGTCTACTAGGGATATTGAGTTATTGATATATATGAATCAAAATACTACTTTGAGATTATGGTGTTCTTATTACTACTCTTTTTGGCTGTATTTCCTTCCAACACGGGTCATTTCCAACCATGCTTCATTGTTGCAGATATGGCCTCCAAAAAGTATCAAAGATTCTGGATCCCGACTTCATTCAAAGCTAAAGGAAGCAATTATGCAAGTAATGCTCATGTTTGGTATTTAATTAATAACAAAAAAGAGCTTACTTTATGACGATCTGACCGGCAGTATTTTTACTATTACTTTGTTTAGATAATCTGTGTCATTGAATTGCATAACTTTTGCCACATTACATATAATGAATCTTGATGTCAGCATGTAAAAAAACTGATGTATTCTTGATTGATGTATTGTTGTATTACAAGATTGATTTAATTACAATTCCTATACAATCTATATATAGAAGAAAATGTGGTAGTAGGTGTAGTGGAGGTGATAGTGGGTTAGGTGAAGTGGAGTGTGTGGTGAAGTGGAGGTAGGTGAAGTGGAGTGTGTAGTGGAGTAGGTGAAGGTAAAGATGGGAAATTCTAACACAGCATATGTTGTTGGCCACTTTGTCATGTTTCTTGCAGTTATGCTCTTGATATTGTATTGAATTACTTGTGAGGTGGTACTGCTAATTATCTAGGACGGTTGTATGAGATGGATGAAGGCTTAGGGTCATTCTTCTTTTACATGTGCCATTTACCTACTTTCAAGTTATTTTATAATTGAGGCTACTTTACGTTTGGTGGAATGAACTTATGCGAATTGTTGACTGGAATTCTGATTTGGGGGATTATCAAAGTTGGCATGAGAAATAGAAGTGAGATAGTAGAAGAAACTTTTGGGAGATGTTCATTTGCAAAGTTATTCTGTCCAATCTACATGAGGTGTGTATGGTGGTTTTGGGGTTTGTATTGCCAAAAAAGAATGGAGTCATTGTCTTGCCCTTACTCTCTGCTCATTTCAGTAGTAGCTGAAAGTTTGTAACCACTCAAGATGCTAATATAGAAAAATATTTAGGAAAATGACACTATTGTAAATAAGCAACTGGTTAGTTGAGCTTATTACAAAAGAATCACTCTTTTACAGTTTTAGATGCATGTGCCCAAAATTATCCTTCATTCCAGGTTGATGTGCAAGTATATATAGTCAGATGCCTCTAACTTCCTCATTTTATGTTGCAACTTGTATGAGCATTGTAATGGGAGACTTCTGTCTCATTATTCAATCTTTTTGTGGGGTTCATAGAATTTGGCTACAATGGCAGATGGCAGAGGCATCATGAGCACAACTCAGCATCATAGTGGTTGATTGGGATCAGAAGAAAATTTTGATGCAAAAAATATTTACTTCTTGGGATTTACTTCATTAAAGTTGGAGCCACTGCCAATGAATTCACTTTATATATGCTGGAAAAAAATCTGAAGTTCAGCCAAAATGGTTAGATTTGGATGGAAAAGCTGGAAATACGCACAAAAAAGGGTCAAAATAGATGCCCCTAGGGACATGGGACTTCTGTTTTCAGTTTCTTGCTGGAGCAAAATGTTTTAACTGAAATTGGTCCACAGGTTCTACAGTGATGGATTCAATTTTATTTATTTTTTGTTTTTGTACCCCCTTCCTTTGTGTCTGAATATATGCAACTTAACTAATTAGATTATTGAGTTAAAAAAATGTATTTGCATGTGAGAGGGAATGCTGAAATTATAGATCGATCTTTTTTTTGCCGTTTAAGGCACTTTAGGACTAGTGGAACCTGTATTCATCTTGTTTGGTGTTCACTGACTGTTTGAAGGGAGCTTCAATTTGCTAGGAAGGGTCTATATATTAGATTTAGAAGAAGTTTAAACCCTCTTGTTTCTTTTATGGCCATGTTGCTGAATTTTCAATTTGTAATCATCTTGATTGGCTATGTTGCTGAATTTTCAAAACTAGCTTTAGAAGCTCTTCTAAGATAAACCACAACACCCTCCTGATTGGCTTGAGGACCCTGTTATTCTCTCTGCCGACTTTGTGCCAAACTTGAAAGGTTGGAAGGAATCTGAAGCTGATCACATCCTGCTAGTCTTCATTCATTGATTATGCTTTTCAGATCTTTTATATTAAGTTTTGTTCTTCTCGAAGTGTTTGAGGTAGAGTAGTTGGTTTCACAAAGTAAATTTTTATGGAACTCCTTGGTCAAAGTTGTGGAGAAATACATCGTGATGAAATCAGACTGTCAATTGGCTTCTTGGGCTGAACTCCATGGCCATGTTGTACTTTAGTTGTTGATTGCGAGTTTACACTTAACCACTGAAGTAATAAAGCCATGTTAATGTATGCTGTGATGGGAGGTATGGCCCTAGATGGATTGGGATGGCAAAGGAGTACACATGTAGCAGGCTCCAATTGCTGAGATGGTAGTGAACTGAGCTAACTACTCATGTTATAGGATAATCTCTAAAAATGAAATGTATAGATCCTAATGTCAAAATGAAATTTGCATTCGTCTTGTAATGGAATGACGTGGTATTGGTGTTTTCATTTATTGATTGATTCTTTACATGAGAGCTAGATTTCTGATTTTATTTTGTGTTTCTTATAACTCCACTGTTATGCAGAGTGGTCTAGAAAAGAACTTGTTTGGAAATCATCCAGTTTCCTTGCCTGCAACAGAGTCCTGTGTCCCTCCTCCTGCTTTTTCCTCAGATCCGCTGATGCATGTGTCTACTACTGGAGGCAGCTCCTCAACAGTAGGAAAGGATACTAATGATATTGTGGAGATAGATTTTCCTAGTTCAGTGAATCCATCTCTTTCTAATCAGCATTCCAATTTCACGAAGAGTGCAAGTCCTGTTGGAGTAATAGGATTTTCCCCTTATTTATTTGAATTAAATTGGAATATGTTAGTCAATATGTTTGTCGTCGTCATCATTGTCTTCATGTATGTGCTATTTTTTCTTAGTGGTATTTCCTATTAATTTGTTTTCTCATAAAGTTTTGATTATATTGAAACACAACACAGCCTGGTGCCACAACGCGAAAGAGTGCATTCCAAATTGACCGCCAAAACTCTGAAATTTCATATTATGGTGATGATGAAGATGGGAATCAGAAGAAGTACACGCGGCGGGGTGAGTATATATTTTTGCTCTTGAATTTCTATTTTGTAGTTAAATGGCCTTGTTGATTGTGGACTTTGGAATACAGCTTGTCATTGGATAGTTTTGGTCATCAGCCCTGATAGTGATCTGTTTATCTTCCTCGTGTTGCACTTCAGATTCTTCTGGTGAAAATATCGCATGATTTTTTTTTTTCATTTAATGCGTGCTACCTTGTGATTTCGTAGGTCATTTTTTATTAAAAACTTTGGAGAAATCAAAGTTGTGTCTGTTAATTGTAGGTACATTGCGCCACAAGTTTCTTAGGTCATTGATACCTTTCTGGTCGAGTGCATTACCAACTCTACCAGTGACAGCACCGCCACGAAAAGACACAACAAATGATGCTCCCGAGGGTCGTGTGCGGCATCAGAGATCTTCAAGGATGGATCCAAGAAAAATCCTTCTCATCATAGCTATCATGTAATGTTTATCTTATTTTATATTCCCACTTTACCATCTTTAAAATTTGTTTTCCACGATAACAGATAAATGAAAAGGCAGAAAAAGACAAAATTAACAACAGGAGTTAAACTCACCATCATGAAAACCTTAATTCCGATTCAGTTGGATGACTATAGATTAAATTTTTAGTCACTTCATTATTATTATTTTTTGGCCTTTTTGCAGAGATGGAACAATAGCCATTTTTGCTAATGCAGTTTATTCTCAAATTCATGCAGGGCCTGTATTGCTACGATGGGTACTCTGTACTATAGACTAGCACAACGTGGCCTTCGGGACGACTTGCCTGATGATGAGCAGTAGTGATCTACCTTTATCCTTAAGACGAGGTGACAGTGGCTCGGGTGAGGCTAAATTATTTCTCTATTCCAACTATCTTTGATTACAGCTCCTTGCTTCTGTTCACCTTCACTCTCCTGTGACAATTTCGCTTGATTCACAGCAAATTTACATGTAGATTATCATCTGTTGCTATGTAGGGATTTTCATTTCTCTTGTGACAGCAAAATATTGTTGTGTTCTTTCTCGGCCATACACCTTTACTCTCTCTCTCTCTCTGTATCTCTCGTTTGGGGATTGATTTTGTGGACCAAGTTTAGTTGATATCTGCTTTTGTTTCAATGTCTGCTATTCACTATGTTGATTCTGAGAAGTGGATTCAATCGTTGCTTGCGTCTTTGTCAAAAATGTCCGGTCCCATGTGTCAACTACCCTTTTTCTTTATCACATTTTACACTTGCCCCCGTTTTGTATCAAAATAATCACTCATCTTTTCATAACAATGTCCTACAGCAGGGGTTCCATTTTCAGTTTCAAAGTATTGTGGTAGCTGTTGAATAAGTTATGCACTGGCCCCGTTTACCTTCAAGCCTGAGTTGAAAAATGCAAGTCACTGTTTCATTCAAGAGCTAAAAAGGCCATTTTACTGTTATATGTCTCTCTTTAGGCTGTGTTTTTGTACCCCAATTGACAAAGATTCTTAAATTGAAGTTATCGAAAGCAGGCATCCAAAAGCAGCAATTATGGAATGAAATGACACGACAAGGCCTACAACTGGAAATGATTTGTAGATCATCAGTAGTTGCATAGAATGGAATGGTGTTTGTTGCAGCGATTCTCACTGACTAGGGACCTGTCTTGTTCAGTTGCTGTTGGGGGAGGGGGCTTCTTGAAAAAAACCGTCAAGTTGTGTGTAGATCTGTGGCTTTGTAATTTTTCTGGGTCCGAATGAGAATTTGCTAAACTATTAATTAATAATTGTGTGTACAATCTCTTCCCTAGAGGTGTGTGGAGTCTATTATGTAGCAATTTCCTTATTTTTTATGTAGTTATATCCTACAAAAATAATCACCCTTGGTTTGCTCTCTCTCTCTCTCTCTCTCTTTCTTGTTTGGTAAATTACTTTTATTGCACAAAAACAACAAACAGGCTTTGTTTTAGTGTGAAAGAAAATTTTGGAGTTTCTTTCATTCTAAACATCAAATTTTAGAGTTTCTTTCAATCCAAACATGAATATACAGAGGTAGCAAATACTCCATTCCTGTGATGTACAACTCAAAAAAACTTTACTCTTCATGAGTCCATTTTTTATTGTCATAAACCATCACACGTCAATTTGTATCCCGACCAAGTGTACTTGACCAAAATTACAGAAGTAAGATATATCCGACCTTCCTAAAATTCTAACTTGCAAAGAAGTGGTCAAGTCAAACCCTACTTTTTACTAATTTAGCCGACCACAGTTAATCAGAACCAAATCTGACATAGTCCCAAACCAACAATTAATTTTCATGTGCAACATTTGGTTGACAAATTATTAGGTACACAAAAATCCTTGATCAACCCAAAACTCCAAATGGTGTTTGGAAAGTTTGGGATTTGGATTTTTTTATTTTTTATTTTTTTCACAAAAAGACAAATTTTTCGCAAAATAAAAAAAAACACGTCCAAACAAAATATCACATCCAACCCCATAATCATTTCATTTTTTCTTTCACAAACATCACATCCAACCACAAAAAAAATTATCTTTCCAAACACAATTTTTTTTTTCCCAATAATATCCTACAATTAAAAAAACCTATATAAAAATCCACTTTCCAAGCACCCACATAGAACCGTGGACAATTGAAAGTTGGTGGTGTGGCTATATTTTGAAACAAATTAGATCAATATGCAACCCAAGAAAATAAAGAAAGAGAAAAAAGTTAATTCTCCTTGCTTCAAGAAACAAGCAACCAAGACACAGCCGAATAAAAAGGCACACAAGCTTATGGTGTATCAACTTAAATTAAGGGTAGACGATTTTTCACTAGATGTAAACAGAATTCTGATCTCCCCTCAATCCAATCCCTACTTCAATTCAGCATGTTACATTCCAAATAAACACGATGGCAACATACAATTTCTGGTTTGGCACTTTGTTATTGTATTGTACAAAAACATTTTAGATCTACCCTCGAAACGTTGGCTCGATGTGGATTCGTGTAGGACCTCTAGCATCTCTCAAAATTCTAGGAAATTTGATGATAATACATCTTTATTTTCTATGCATGATCCTCATTGACATGATTTGGAATCTCCCCTTGGCTGTCCAAAGGCATGTACTGCGCCATTATAGCTCTGATCTCTGAATCCATGTACGACTGCAAAACAGGAAAGAAAATATAAATCCCAGTTCACAATTCACATGATTTTCTGATTCATGCTCAACTTCTCAACATCCACAGTGAAATCCACAAGAAAAAATTGTGGTCAACTAAGATGAAGATTTCAGATCTGTTCAGAAATTAGCCTTTTACAACTTTTTTGATGGTTGGATCCATCTTCTGCTCTGCGGCCAGGGTAGCACCTTCTTTTTAAAGTTTCCGAGTAATATAATTCTTTTGAGGAAAAAAAAAAAGGTCTGAAAGAAGGGGAAAAAATGATTCTGCAACTAAAGGCCAATTGGCATGCCTAGAAAGAAAAAATTGTGGTCAACTAAGATAAAGATTTCAGATCTGTTCAGAAATTAGCCTTTTACAACTTTTTTGATGGTTGGATCCATCTTCTACTCTGCGGCCAGGGTAGCACCTTCTTTTTAAAGTTTCCGAGTAATATAATTCTTTTGAGGAAAAAAAAAAAGGTCTGAAAGAAGGGGAAAAAATGATTCTGCAACTAAAGGCCAATTGGCATGCCTAGACAAGAAAAGAAAAAAATGAAAACCAAAGGCCCATTTTTTGGATGTTTGGACCCGGGGATGGGCTGCATAAAATCTGGCTTAGGTTATTATGTTGATTACCCAAGTTCAAATCAAATTCAAACCAAAAGTTGTCTGTACATGAGCTCAATACTAAGGCCCAAATTTCAAATGTTTTAGCCAACCGATCAACATATCATCACTACTTGACCAAAGTCACAGATAATTGTTTTAAAATAAATGCTTCCACTGACTGCCAAGTGTGTAGATGACATTAGAGACTAAAAACTAGTGAATTTCCTAGAATAACACAGGTAGAAGCTTGCTTATGATGATTACTACATTAGCTATTTTCAGATTAACAGTTTGATCAGATTAGAAATTATATGTACTTAAATTTCCATAAAGATAAGAGAATATATTCTTCAACAATGTCATTTATTTGGCCAAAAGAACCCTACTCCTTTTAACATTGCATCCAAGTACGCCCTAGTAATTTATTTTTACTTTATTTTACTTATTTTATTTTGTTTTACTCTTTCCACCCTAACACAACTATGACTATGAGACTTAGCATGAGAGGCCGTGTACCACCTGGTCCATAAGGCCTGATAAAGGCTACTAAGGGCAAGATTCAGTGTACCCACACAAATTTGAAGGCTCGAAACCTAGCTACAACAAAAAATTTAGTCTGCAGAAATCCATTGCACCAAACTTACCCTCAGCCTATATTTGTACACCGTGTATGCTCCACCAGCGGCTACAGCCAAACCTATCAAAATCACCCAAACAGCTGCCCATGAAGATCTCACTTCGGTTGCCCTCTTACCTGTAGATAATCATTTGAAGGACGTCAAAACAAGAGAGACTACTTATGCATACACACAAAAAAGGAGCTACAAAACTTGGGTTGTGAGGAACTCACTTATGCAAGTATCATGGTCCCTGATATACAGGAGGTCTCCACTGCAAGTGCAATCATAGCTACCCCAGGTGTTCTTGCAGCTACATTCAGAGCACTGGCAGGCTTTCTTCTCTTTGCATTCGTCAACATCTGAGCAGCAAGAATAAGCAACATAAAAAACAGATACGGCAGATCAAGAATTTATCCAAGCAGTTGAGACTTCGAAGTTATAATTTGTTGGTTGAGTTAAAGCTGAGTTGTATGTCAAATTAAGAATTGCTAACAGGTATAAAGCTTGTTCCACTATCTTATTAAGCTTTAGTTTAAAGCCGCCTATTCAGCTGAACATCAGTTTCGTCTAATCAAAAAAACTAACATAAAAAAAATCACAACCACCGTCAACACTTCCACAATCAGGTTTCTTTAACTTGCATGCCGATTCATACTATTTCTATAACTCAAAGCTAATCCCACATATTGATCTGAAATATGCAAACAAGTCAAAATTTAGTTTAGAATAGTCACTTATCTTTTAAATAAGGTCTCCATTTATTTATTGTTTTACATATCAATTATAAGCTATGAAATTAATTTGTAACAATAATATTTCTTTACATATAATATTAATGGTTATGATATATTATATGATGTAGCAGAAAATTATAAAAATTATTTTTTAAATTTATATTTTTAATCCAATGAATTGCATAGTTCAATACTAGTATATATACTTGTATGTTTTTAAAAAAGCATTTCTATTCATGAGATCATTAGTCGTTGTAAATCATTTAATTCAATTGAAATTATTAAGGTGTCGCATGATAACGTCTTATTTTCTGTTTACAAAAAACAGAAAACAAGTAAAAAAATAAAAATCTTGTCTGGCATTCACAGAAGTTTCAAAAACTAAAATAAAGAAACATGTTTGGTGAGTTGCCGGAAGTGATGGCCAGTGGTGGAGGTTGGCCAAAGGTCATGGACAGTGACTGGCCGATCACTGGAGCCCACCAGAAGATGGTCGGAGCTCATTGGAGATCTCCAAGGGGTCGCCAACAGTGGGTGGGTGGTTGGGGGGAAGAGAGACTGAAAATTTGTTTTGAAAACATATTTTTTTCATTTCCAGAAATTTTAAAAATTTTGAAATCAATTTCATCTTTTTTAAAACAAAAACAATATACCAAACAATTTTTTGTTTCTAGTTCCCCCCCCCCAAAAAAAAAAAAATGAAAACAAAAAACAAAATGCATTTTAATGAGGGTATTTTTGTCTGAAGAATGTTTTACACCTGTTGACACTTCCATTAGTAGTAGTATAGATTAAAGTATAAGTCCACACTATGAGGCCCTTGTGATGTCCAAATTTCTAGATATATAAATAGATGGAGGTAAAAGTTTGGATTGGATGCAAGGGGATCGAACAATCATAACCTAAAAGTGGCATTGGTCTCTCATAAGTCTCACAGACTTCATCTATGGATTTCCCTAGTTTCCCCAAATCCAACAAAGAACTACATATGAAACCAGTCATGGTAATGGAAGTTCCAAATTCAGCAATATCATTTTCCTGAAATAACCCAACCAACATTACAAGATGATTGTGCAAGCTCTCTCTCACCTTCACAACTTTTGACACCATCACCTTTGAAGCCTGGAGGGCACACGCATTTACTGTCCCCGATATCCTGTTGACCACAAAATTTGGAATCATCTTAACATATATGCTTACAAAAAAAAATAAAAATAAAATAAAAATATGAAACTGTGAAATGATTGCCAACCAAACAAGCAGAGTAGGTGTGTCCATCTCGGGTTTCAAGCCAACAACCTCCATTATTGATCTTGCAACGCCCGATTCCGCTTGCTGTAAATGGAAATGACACATGGTTATGGCATAACTATTACATGTTTAAAATGAAGAAACTTGATTCTGAATAAAATGGCCTCAGATATTCCAGAATCTTCTGATCATTTTTCGCCATGTACGCTTACAGTTGAAGGTCCCAAAAATTTGCATGCAAACCATTTAATATGGGTTCTTTGAAAAGATCCATTACTATAAATATTAAACTTGTTTTCAATATATAGATATATTGATCAGCAACAAAAGGAAGATATATTAACAACCCATATTATATGGACAAGTGTCTGTTAAAAAGAAAAAACGAAAAAATTCTGCATTAAATTGTTTATTCAACTAATGAAAGAGGCATGACATATGCATCACAAGAACCCATATTGAACACTGGAAGGTTCCAATGTCCTGAGGAAACATACACACAACCTTCATGGATGTTATGCATTAATACATTATATATTCTATAAATAGTTAGAACACAGTCGACCTGATACAAAAGGGCCTGACAATGTAAATTAAGCTCTTGTCTCGTGCCTCTTTCACATGCTATTACCGCTGGCATGTGAAACGACTGACTGACAAACAAATTGACCTGAACTTTTTTTGATCAGTAAAACAAATTGACCTGAACTTTTTTTGATCAGTAAAACAAATTGAAAACATACGAGTACACACTAACAAACATAAATGGGAGGAAAAACTTGCAATGAGACTTATCCTGAAACCTTCTCAAAACCAAAGCTACCATAATATGTTAGAACACTAATTGCCCGCAAAAGCTTAAGCTATTTATTAGGAATGGACCCAAAATGTAAATCAAATTCTCAGGGAGGTCTCTCCCCTCTATCTATACTGATAAACAAGCAAGATAACAATTTTACCCTTTTGACTTACTATTTTTTGACATGAATTTTAGAAGTCACTGAAAGAGTACTTCAAAAGATTGGTTTGTTTTCAAACTAAGAAAGAGATCAAGCTTAATCTTTACCTTGACAGTTGCTGTAACCATCTCCCTTGAACTGCACACCATCAACCAAGGGGCATTCGCAAACTCTCCCACGAAATGTATCCTGAGTACATAAAATATAACTATTAGTAAATTATAAACAATTAGAGAATGTAAAATCCAATCAGTTATGAGTCATGAAAAGGTACCTTGCAAGCAGTGATGTTGGCTGCTTTATCTTGCCAGCAACCACCATTATTATCCAAGCACTCATTTGTCTCCACATCTGTAATAAAGAAGATATCCACTCAAAAGCTCATCTTGTGAGTGAAAAACACATCATCCATGACAGTTTAATATCATTATTCGGCTCAAAAAAGAAATTAGGAATTTACCACCACTCAAACAAACAGCTGGCTCAGTAGTTTCCTGAAAACCCGCACAAATGGCCTTCAAAACAGCACCTTTCTCCAACTTCCCTGGAATCATGTATTTTAGAAACAGAGGAACAGTCTGCTTTTCTAATCAAAGAGATACAAGTACAAGGATGGACCTCGGTATTGTCGATTATTGACAACAAGGGTAGGCAATATTGTTACATCACCTCGTGATCCCTTTCCAACCTACAGAAAAATATACTTGTTAAATGGTTACATGATTGAAATAGAATCACCAAATTTCAAGGATTGCTTATTGTACTAAGTTGCTGAGTCACTTTATAGACTAAACAAATAAGAAATTCATACTTGAGCATCTTGCTCTTCTTTCAGAACAGGATTGTCAGAATCAGCATTTGGGTCACCCATACACTTCTCGATCTTTTTAAGATCAAGCCCTGCGCAGTTGAAACATGAAATTTTTTAAAACAATTCATCAAAGGTCACTGGCATACTTGAGAGTCAGAGGATGCAACAAGTCACCTAGAGATCTGATAACATTGTCAGCACAATCCTCGTTATATTTCTTCTCCTTCATGGGACATCTAATTTGAAAATCAGTCACATAGTCCCACCAGACCCAAGGCTTTTTGGTCTCATTTGCGACTCTAAACACGCAAAGCTGTCTTAAGTTTTCAAGAACCACATCTTTCCCATCGTAACCTGTGTTGAAATCCTGCTCAGGATCAGGTGCACAATATCTTCCATGATTGATACATTGAGACTTGCACTGTTTGCTTATTGTGAAGGCATGAGGACAATACCAAGTTATATAATGGGGTGTAAATTGAGTATAGCCACCTTTCTCAAGAATCTGAGCTGCACCCTTAAAATCTTTCACAAATTCCATCAACATATCACATTTAAACCCACACTCATCATTGCTGTTGGTCCACAACTCATACTCTACACGATCATCTGGGTGCGGAACAGCTTCTCTCCAATCAAGATTCACATTTACCATTTCCCCAATACTGAGTGCTTTCTTCAATTTTTCACCAAAGCTTTTCTCGATTAGTGCAGATGGTATTGTGATGTTTTCGATATATTTTGCTAAGGAACGATCCTCTTCAGGGGTGTCCATGGTTATCAAGGCTTCCTCGAGATCATCTGCTACAAGCACAGCAGAAGCACCAGCATTTTGGGCATTCCAAACCTTCAAAGCGAAAAAGCATTCTAAAAAACAAATAAGCAGAAAATTCATTAGCAACCTGCCAAATCAAGTTAAGTAACAACCAGATGGAGAGCAAAACAAATCAACCACAAAATTCAGAAACTTATTATAAGCACATGGAGTTCCAGCATGCTGTTCGCACTTTCATTCCCCATAACATAAAGCTATGCACTTTACTAGGTAAAGTAACCGCACAATCCCAGTAATTAACCAAGTCCCAATTCTTAGCCCAACGGGTATCCCCTCAATCAACCAAATAATCCAATCAACCCTCAAACATAAAGAACAAAATCACCAAAACCAACCAAAGATTACAAAAGGTACCCCTTTCACAAACAACAAATTAAACCCTCCAACATAACTAAAATCAGCACAAAACAGCTAAACTAACCAAATTGGGGAAAACAAAGGGCAACCCAAATCCCAAAATCAACCAAATTCGCTTCAAGATTCAATTGAAAAGGCAAAGAACAGCTAAAATCAATAAAAACAACCAAAAGGGTACTTAAAAAACTAACAAATCAGCATCATAGAGCAACAAAAAGCTCGAATTACTCAAAAATACAAAAAGGGTACCTCCACGATCGATCAAAACAAAAGTGGGCAAAGAACCAGGCTTGGACTTAAAGGAAATCCCAAATTCGTCAAAACCCTTACAACCTTTTCGGTTGTCCTTGGGGTACAACACTGTCCCAGCCATGCTACCTCCATACTGAGGAATCCCGAAGTTGCCAATGGCGCTATCGTGAGTTCCTTTGATGCTGTCCGGTGATGTAACCGTCAAGCTGTTCTTCTCCACCACAAACCGAGCTATTGCAGATGGGTAATACAGATTGAGCAAAACAAAACCCAGAAACAGAACAAGTAACGGTGGTGATGCAACCCCCATTTTTTCTTCAGTACTTGCAGAGAAGAAAGAGAGAGAAAAGTATCGAAGCTATTGTTCAAGAAGATTTGATTTGTTTTTTTTTGACCTTTCGGGTACAGTGAAATTTATTTATATGCGATTGTGAAGCGTTTGTGTGAAATTAATAGTATAGCATAGTCATATCTATCTCTGTCAAAGACTTTTTTTTTTTTCCTGCTGTATATCTGTCAAAGACATTGAAAGCAGTGTTTTTAGAAGTATTATACGAACAATCACGTATCTAAATCTAATCTAATCTAATCCAATGTCCAAATTAGTAAGTAAAAGATTATAAAATTTAGGTTAAATAATATGGAAAAAGTGTTGCTTTCAGGAAAAAAATAATGTTAGGTTAAATTATATGAAAAAAAGTGTTGCTTTTAGAAAAAAATGATGTTAGAATTCTTAAATATTTTATTAAATATCTGAGTATAAGATTTATATAAAATTTATATAATTTGAATTCTAACATAATGTAATTTAGATAAAATGAGTTCATTTGGAAAGTTGTTATTTTAGTAGGCTATTTTAGTTTTTGACTATTTAGTAGGTTAAAATTTTTGTATTTTGAAAGATGATTAATTTTTTTGTGGTTGGATGTGATGTTTATGAGAGAAAAAGTGAAATGATTATAGGTTTGATGTGATATTTTGTCTTATTAGTTATTTTAGTCTATTTTATTTTTTTGTAAATTTTAGCTTAAACTAGGCTATTTTTTTTCTTGCCAAACACCCATTTAATAAAATAGATGTGAGATATTTAATAAAATATTTAAAATTTTTAATATTTTTCTTCGGAAAATTGTTTGGTATTGCATCTGTAAGTCCACAACCCAACCAATGTCGGTCAAATTTGAGGTCATTCACACGACCCTTTCTTTTTTTTCTTTTCAGGACACGACTGTCTTCAGTCGGCTGGTGGATGTTATTTAAAAATTAAAAAAAAATAAATTATAAATATAATTTTTTTGTCAACATTTTTTATTTAACAAAATTAATAAAAAAATTTAAAATTATTAACTGTTTTGATATACAATAATATATTTTTTATTTTATTAAAATTTGATAGTTCATTAATAAAAAGAGTCATTTGTTACTCGATTAGAAATTTAAAAGGGTATAACGTAATTTCTAGAATTAAAAAAAAAATTGAATTTTAATCAAATCTTAAAGTGTGTATTTATAGTTTATCTAAAAAAGAGTTAATTTTATAAGATAAACATAATTAAATGTGTTTTGTAAAAATAGATATTTAATTTTTTTTAGACACAAATGTAAAAAATTAAATAGACTACAATTATTTTATTGCCATATTTTTTTTATAAATGATATATAAATTTTTTAAATAAATGAACATTTTGGAATTATTGGCAAATCCCATTAGAAATTGGTTTTTTTTTTTTAATAAATTACAAATACACTCTTGAGATTTGATTAAAATACAAATTACCTCCTATGATTTTAGAAATTACATTCTACCTCTTGAGATTTTTAATTTCATAATAAATCGCTATTTTTATTAATAAATCATCAAGTCAATTAACAGTCTTTAGACAAACTTAAAAATGTATGTTTTTAATTTGTCCTTTTTTTTTTTTTTCAAGATCTCCCAAAGATCCAACCCAGTAGCAATGGGCCGTGGATCCGAGAACAATTGAATCGGCCTTCTGGTAAACAAGTGGGCCTAACTAATAAATTAACAAGAACTAGTCCACTTCCCTACCGACCCAAAAAAATAATAATAATTTAATAAATCCAATTCCCCACATATGTATACGATATGACAAATGTTAGGTGAAATATGATTTCTAAACTCACCCCTGATAATATAGAAACTCTTAGACCTTAGGTAGTGGAGATAAATTTAACAATTATGTTTTAAAAATCGTAGCTTTTTTATCACAATAAGTCGAAACTATTATATGAATTTATGAGTTGTTTAGGGTGTCTTAAATAAGTGTACTTTTTATCTTTTTAAATTAAAAAGTTGAGAAAAAAATATGGATATTTAAGTTAACTTTTTGATTTTTTATGAAAAAATATGTATTAAAAATTTGTATAAAGAAGTGTGTAGGAGAAGATTGTGTAGAAAGTCGTACGGTGCTGGCAGTGGAGTGGGTTGTGGAGTAGATGAGAAATTATTGTCTTCTTCTCGGGCTTTGATTGGATGGTGTTGTTTGGCACATGGGGGCCCACCACGGGTTCCATTTTTCTAATCAGAACCGTTCAATGTGTAGAAATCATCGAGTACTATATGTTTGTAAAGAATCACGTTGATTGGATATCGATAGCTATTTGATCGTGTTAGTTTTTTTTATTAACTGTTAACTATAATACCATCTATTTTTATACCCGATAGACGTGATTTTTTACAGGCATATAATACTAGACGAGTTCTACATATTGAACGGTTCAGATTATCAAAACGAGACCCATGGTGGGCCTCCACGGGCCGAACTTTATCATCCAATTTAGTTTGGGGCACACATGGAAATTTTTTTTCCTTCATTTCACAGAGTAGTTCATCACGTCAGTGGCCGAAAAGTTGATTTGAATGAATATTTGTATATTATTTTTTTAATATATTTATTTGTGAATAGTAATAATTTTTTAACTTTTTTGATAACTTTTTGACTTTTTAGAAGATTGCCAAACCAGCTCTTAAACTTGAGATCTCATTTTATTAATATTTAAGTGTCCCCTTATAACCACTTAAGTCTTGTGGGGAAATATTTTCTGAGTCCCAACACGTGGCCAAGGTGACGCCGACGTGTCAGCCGAGGTGCCACGTGTCTAGGTCATGACGCCGAGAAGATCTCGGCAAGGCCGAGGTTATCTCCAAAGATATTGGAATCCGAGATAAGCAGATAAGGGACGAGAGTCCAAGAATAAGGAAAGACTTTAGCATGGATAAGGATAACACTCTTAGGGAGTTTATCTTTATCTCTTGGAAAGTCCAGGATAAGCACAGAGCAAGAGTCCATTGAAGTTAGGCTTCTAGTGGGACAGAGATTGAGTTAATTATAAAAGAGAGGCACCCTCAATGGGTCGAAGGTACGCAATTTATATTCTGAACAGCGAGATTAGCACTATTGATTATCTTTGAGAAATATACTGACTTGATTGTCGGAGTGCCCCCGGGTGGACGAACCACCGCCAGAATCTTCTCTTTCTGTTGCAGGTCAGCCAGGTGTCATCTATTCTGTCAGTTCTCTCCAGCTGATTACTGAGTTGGCAGTGTGATCGGAAAATCACTCACACAATTTGGCACCATCTATGGGAAAGAAAGGAGAATAGATGGCCAGTGACGGACAGAAGGAAAAGATTGGGGACGATACTCCTGCTGGGAGTGGCAGACTTATCGACCTTGACATCGAAGGAGACAACCGCAACACAAAAACTCGTGACCAGAATCACAGCAAGAAAGACATGGCCAGGATGGCGACGTACCAAAGAAGCCAGATCGAAGTGGGTACTACAATGGGGATGATCTCCAGGTATGGAAGGATAGATGCTTGAGGAAGGACGAAGAGGTAAAAGAGATGGCGAACAAACTGGCAGACCTGCAATCAGTCGTCAATTTTATGATACAAAACAATGTCATGCAGCCACCGTTCCTGTTGCAGGGCACGCCGATTCCAGTGGCCAATACACAGAAGGGAGGGCAGAAACCAATCTCAGAAATTCCCCAGCACACCAGGAGCAAAAAACACTCTCACCGGCCTTCAAAGGAGGTCAGACGAGGAGGGTCGAGGAGAGAAGAGTCACGGAGGACGCATCGCGCCAAAGAGGAAGACCCCAAAGAACACCGGTATGTTCAGGGGCAGGCGCTCTGCTTCGACACAACTCACGGAGAAAGGTCGAAAAGGACCCACCATGAAGCTAAGAGTAGTATGCCGAAAAGACTGAAGTCAGGAGATAGCCGAGCTCCTGGGCGGAGCAAAGAAGACTTGAGAGATTACCTCAAGAGGAAGCAACAAAATGCCGATGTCGAGGTAACGTCCCTTGATAAGCCGAGAACACCATTCTCAGTGGAGTTAGACAAATTTAAGGCACCAAAGAGATTCAGTATGCTGAGGTTCCAAATATATGATGGTAAGTCAGACCCCAACTTCCACGTTGGATTATACTTGAACTCAATGGCATTATATAGTGGGAACGAGCCGTTGCTCTGCAAAGTGTTCCCCTCATCGTTCGGGGAGATTGCATCAGATTGGCTTCACAAACTACCGAAGGGAAGTGTGAAGACCTGAGAAGGCTTGGCCGAGATGTTTATGGCCAGGCTCGTGACAAACAAGCTGTAACTATTAAGAGTGGATGCATTGATGGCTCTGAAGATTAGCAAGGATGAAGGCCTCAGGGCCTATGCAAAAAGGTACTATGAGGTGTTCAACCGAATACCAAAGTGTAATCAAGAGGTGACGGTCGTATCTTTCAAGAATGGCCTAAAAGACGACGGCCCACTACAAAAATCTTTGGCAAAGACATTGCCAAAAAGCATGGAAGAGCTCATGGCGAGGATCGAGAAGTATGCCAGAGCTGAGAAAGATACATCAGGGACTAGGGAGACAAAGCAAGAGAAGGGGAACGGCTCGCCGAAGCGAGGCCGAGGTAACAATGGATTGAGCAAGCAAGAGACAGAACTAAGGGCTGCACATGCAGTGACAACTGTGTTCCGAATCCCAATACACAAAGTCCTGGATCAAATTCGGAATTAACCTTATTTCAGAACACCAACAAAGGCACCAGGAGAATTCATGGGAAGAAACCTTGGCAGGCATTGTTCTTACCATAATGAAAACGGGCATATGACTCAAGGCTGTAGAGCCCTGAAAACACACTTGGAAGACCTGGTGAGGCAAGGTCATCTGAGAGACCTTGTCGATGAAGCCAGAACAAGGGAAGAACAAGCAAGATTGCCTCAAGCGACAACAGCTCCACCTCCCCTAGCACAGCAACCTTAGGCAGGAGGACCTCGGGTAATTAATGTAATTCACTTGTAGGTCAGCGAAAATGAGATCAGGGGGGAGACCCAGAAAGTGAAGCACTTGCAGCATGTTTACCAAGTCGGGGAGAAGAGACATTG